TAAGACTTTACATTTGGTTTCAATGGTATTTGTAATATATTTGTGAAAAATACTTCTAATTCTTTATAAAAATGTTTCATTAAATAATGTTCAGGTAATAAATGTGTTGGATCATCCCATACTATTTCATTAATAAACAAAAATTGACCAATACATAAATCATTATTATTTAATATATAAGAATCAGGTACGAAAAAAATTGGCCATTTCTTATAACATTTATCATTTGTCAATTCATTGTAGAGAAAATTATATAAACGATTCATAGTTGATAAATTTTCAATAAATTTTCGTTGATATGGTTGTTTAGGTGGATTATCTAATAGAATATTGATTTTTTCTTGTTTGTCATTTTCATCCATATGAGCTATATCAATATTTGATAATGTTGTATATGTTGAATTATTTATATATTCTAATAGTCTTAAAATTATATCTTGTGGTGTAACTCGATCATTTATAGGTGGGGTGGGTGTGGGTGTTCTCTTAACTCACTCACTCACATCCACATCCACACCCACACCCACCCACACCCACACCCACACCCATCCACACCCCACACCCACACCCACACCCACACCCCACACCCACCCGCACCCACACCCACCCACCCCCACCCACACCCACACCCACACCCCACACACCCACACCCACACCCCACACACTCAAAATATCGTTCGACTGACAACTAACACAATTCATTGAAATACAAAAAAAGATTAATCACAATAAGTCTTTTATTCATCTTCTATACTCCGCTGTCAAGATCTACTTCGAAAGTTGGATCGTATGCTTGGAAAGTACTTCTGGGCGAATCGCCACAGGTTTTTCCACAGAACACTAGAAATCCGGCCCAGGCATAGCCATTTTGAGAGAAAAGAAGCATCGAGTCGAGCTCCAAATGTGTCCATTCGATAGAGCTCGTCGAGATCTACTTGGAAAGATGGTGCATATACTTGGAAAGTAGTGCTGAGCGAATCGTCATAGGTTTTTTGATAGAAATATAGGAATCGGGGCCCAGAAATGGCTTTTTTAGGGGGAAAGAAGTATGCAATCGAGCTCCAAATGTGTCCATTCGATAGAGCTCATCGAGATCTACTTGGAAAGTTGGTTCATATACTTGGAAAGTGCTCCTGGGTGAGTCGTCACAGGCGTTTTGGGAGATATATGGGAATGAGGCCTGGAAATGACCATTTCAGGGGGAAAGACGCATGGAATCGAGCTTCAAACGTGTTCATTCGATAGAGCTCATCGAGATCTACTTGGAAAGTTGGTTCATATATTTGGAAAGTACTTCTGGGCGAATCGTGACAGGTTTTTGTGTAGATATATAGGAATCAGGGCCGGAAGTGAACATTTTGAGGGGAAAGAAGCATAGAATTGAGTTCCAAAGGTGTTCGTTGGAAAGAGCGCGTCGAGATCTACCTGGAAACTTAATGGCTTAGTTGGAAAGCACTCGTGAGCGAATCGCGACATGTTTTTCCGGAATTGATTGCATTTTATACATTTTTTTGATGATATTTTTTGATTTCCTTGGTTTGAGGGGGGCTAGAAAAAAAATGAACTGTACTGTTGGATAGAGCTCGTCGAGTTCTACTTGGAAAGTAGTTTGACTGCTTTGGAAAGTGTTCTGGAGCGAATTCTTTCAAAAAATACTCGAATCCAGACCTAAGATATCCTACGTGTCTCAAAAAAAAAACATCAAACTGTTGTTTATTATAATCAATTATTCTTCTACGGATTCGTTGGATTGTTAGATGTGTATTTCTGGCTGATGCTGATAGTGTGAGTATTGGATATTAGTGAATTAGACTGCTAGCATGGATGAATCAATCTTCTCCTCATGCATATCCTACCTACTCTCTCACCCTCATGCAACTATCCAATCTCAGGGTTGCAACCATAAACCATAGCCGATCCACTCACATTCACACCTTCTTCCAAACTTGTTCAACACGGTTTATTTTCAATTTTTTTTGCTGCAAGCTTGAAAGCTAAAACGCGTTCAACTAGTGATTTGAGTAGAGAAGATCATTTTCAATCACGTAGAACAAGCAAATGTAATCGTGTTCACACTACATTGAACGATGAATCGGATAAATCGCTACGAAACGAGACGTCTTTGAGTTCTCTGCAAACTTTTTTTTTTTGACAGAGATACGTCCTTCTTATTGAAGATTTAAAAAATGACTTTTCAATAGGAAATAATAAAAAATCGACATTAGGGTTTCCGTAAAATTCTCGTATCTCAACCAAAAACCTATGTAGAGAGCTGTATATATTGGTATGTTCATTGTGGTCGAAAGTTCCAATTCTTTTTTCTTATTCTGTAGCTTCTATAATACGTCAGAAAAAACAGAATTTTTTTGTCAGCTATAGCACTCGTGTAGTACTAATAAGGTGTCATTGTGGGTATGGATGTGGATCACATTCCGCAATTAATCCGCACCCATACTCTAAGAGAAGAAGAGGAAAGGAATAAATGTATAGAGAGAATGAGTAGATTTCGATAAAATGGTTATAAATTTTTTATTTTTCTCCCCAAGATACTTAACTCGATAGATCCTCTATCGATTGGTATCTCATTATTTTAACTAATATTGTGAAAGTATCGTTGATTTAGAAGAAGTATACTTCTGCTATTTTGTTAAATAAGAAATTTCGTCAGTCTGCTAGTGCTTTGCATTTATATATAATAAATAACATATCCTTTTTAGAATAAATAAATACAATGAACAGTTCTCGTAATCCGACTCAACAATCATCTGGATATATACCACATCCAACTCAATCTGGTACCTCTCTCAATTGAATGATTTTCATGTTTTATTTCTATACTCTTACAGCAGATAGCTATGATCAAAATGAAATACAATTTTAACCACCTCATCTTGTATTATCACGTTCAGACTTTGTCAAAGGTTGGTTTTATTTTAATCATTGAAATTTTTTCGTAAAAATTATTGGCGGATTTCAAATATACAAGTGTATCTTCAGGTTGTAAGGCTTTAAAAATCGATATTATTTTTAAAGATGTTATTGTTTAATCATAAAATACTTTCCAAATTATGTTTTTATTTCGATTTTGAGGAAAAAAAATCGTTGCTATACTTTACAAAAATATTTATTCATTATCATGCCGTTTATCGATAACATTTGATTTATAAATAAAATGAAATAGATTTAACATTATAGATATTAAAGTGAATATTAATATTCTTTTGGCAATGTTTAATTTTTTTTTGAAAATTCTATCGAATCTTATTTTATAATGTCAATCTTTTCTGAGAAATATAGCTGCACATACCTACGATCCTTTTCTAGTGTTTATAAATATCTTTTGTAATTTTTCAATAACTCAACTAAATTATCTGAATCGTGAAAAAAACAATTATGGATTAGAAAAATTCAACTTTGTAGAAGATCGACTATATAAATTAGGTGTATTTTTTTGCTGAAAATCTTATCTAAAGCTTTGCTAATTTCTGTTATTTATGAAACTCATATATATATTCGAAGAAAATAGTGAGTGTAAGTTTTAAGTTGAAGTTTCGCATCTCCCTCCTCCTCATTATAGACACTTAGCAAGCGAAATTACGGATCATTGCGCATATTTTGTATATGGAATATGTGAGTTTCACATTTCAGCTTCAAAGAGGCTGCGCGCTATCAAGCTTGAATGATAGTTGATAGCTGAGATTTTTTATTTTTGTTTTTATAAAGATGATAAACAAGCCGGAAATCAATGAGGAACTTTTACTGGTCTTGAAAGCAAAAGAATTCGTCTTGTATTTATTTGAAAGGTTTGTACTGATCGAAATATCAAGAAAAAAAAACATTTATTTTAATAATTTTATATAACATAATTACGTCTATTCAATTCTTATGATTCAATTAGCGATTACATTTGGTCTTATTGCACTATTTCATTTTATGTATGTTTTTTTTTCCTCAAAAAAAAGATATTGAAAGTGACTATCTAATATACAATGTAGATCATCGATTAGTGAATACGTACGAAGTCCGAGCGGTCAATGGCTTTATATTACATCCTATGTTGTTTTTTTGGTTACTTATTTTGCATTGATTTGTTCGAAAAATGCCGGAAGAAAATATCCACTTAATCTTATTTTACTTGGCATTTTAGGCATTATCAATGGGTTATATGGTATAAGATCTATTTAAACATAATTTACTCATGAATTTTTTTTTGTTTTTGTAAAAACTCTAGATGAGTACGATTTCAGCATATTATAAAATCGAATCAGTATTAATTGTTGTTGGTATAACAGTATTTGTTTGTTTGGGTGTTACATTATTTTCATTTCAAACAAAATCTGATTTTACATCATGTATGGGAGTTCTATTGGTAATGTCATTGACACTTTTAGCTTTTGATTTTGTTTGTATTTTTACTTATTCAAGAGTATATATTTTAACAAAAAAACAAGATATCTATGTTAGGTTTTTTTTTCTCTCCTAAAAAAATATTTATTTCTTTAAGATAATGTATACACTCTATACTGGTCTTGGAGCTGTGTTTTTTTTTGATTGTAAGTTTTAATAATTAAGATATTAAAAGAAATTATTTTCCTATTATTAGTTCTTGGCTGTTGATACACAATTAATTATGGGTGGAAAACGACATGAAATAAGTGCTGAAGATTATGTTTTTGCATCACTTGTGCTTTATATTGATATTATTTATATATTTTTATGTTGTTCGGTAATCGAAAATAAAATTATCTTTTAACAATGGTATGAAAACATTTTTCATACCAGTTATCTTTATGATTGTGCTTATTTTTCTTTCACTTCTTCCCTGTCTATATCTTCTTTGATTTTCGTCTTCATTTTTCTATTGAAAGTTCAGTTTTCGCCTTTATAAAGTTTCATATGTATACTTAATCGTGTTTGTCAAGAAAAATAAATTTGTATTTCTTCGCCTTTGTCATGTTCTTATTAGTTAGAAAATACGCAATATTTTGTTTATTAATATTCAATACATTAAATATTGTGATAAAGAGACACATCGAATGTAGTTTTAGGGACTTCTCTAATACATTTCTGTTTCTCTCTTCTCATTATTCACCTGCTTGGTTTTCTTTTTCTGATTTTTTAATGTTTAGATTTTAACTTTTATTTTCTTCATATGAAATACACAATAACAAAACAGAGCATGTATCTTTATACATATAACCTATGAAAGCTGCTAGAGATCAGAGAAGACAAAAAAAAAGAAATGTATTGCACAATATAATCTGGTATTTCTAACACAGATCATAACATTGATAAACTTAGCTAAGTTAGTTAAAGTCATCCAAAAATGATTTTCATATCGCAAGCAGTTTAACCAAATCGCTGAAATTTATTTTTATCGCAAGTGTAACAAAGAAAGGATCGTTAAGAAATGAAATTAGTGTCCTCTAAAAATCCTCGAGTTTTCTCTGTTAAACAATCACATTAGATTTTAGATTTTTCTTACTATTAAAATTAGACTGACAGGATGTGTTTAGACATGTTGCATTCCTCTTTATATTTTCTGGTTATATACTTTTGTAAGCCATATTATAGTCAATTGGCATTCATCAAGATTGGTTGCCTATTACAGACTGCATTATTAAATCGTGCTAAAGGATTGAAGAAAAAATTATTGATAGCTATGGCCTAGTACGACTATATTGGTATGTAGTTTGCTGGATATGATTATTTTGTGACAAGGTCTGTACTAAGAGTATATTTAACTACGCACAATGAACATATGTCACTACGTCACTTTATGTGTCGTTCGATTGTTTTTTACTAGAGCTACTGAATCATGCAAAAAGGTGAAAAAACACGTTAGTCGCTGTAATGATATTGTTATGCCCTTTGTAGAATATGATCATTATTGTAGTGGTAGATTTTTATGATTATGGTGAATCACAATATACCAATACCTCACTTTATATACCGAACAATAACGATAGGTTCTTATTATGGTTACTTATGCAAAAAAGATTGAAGAATAATTATTGACAGGTGTACGATTGATTTCGAGAATAATATTCCAAGAACGTATACGAAGAATTACTGTATTTCATAAGATATTCAAAAAGTCATAACCACATTTAAGACGTGTAAAACTCGACTACCGATCACGTTTAATCTGAGAAAAAGAGCGATAAGGTTCTGTTAGAGACAAAGTTTATAAATAACCTATATCATTATTGGGAATTTTAAACTATTCAAATTTTTTAGTATTGCTTTTAACGATAAGTTTCATGTTTTTTCTAAAGATCAATGAACTAGTGCACTTATCTAAAGCAGATTACTTTTGAAATGACAAGAACTCTGATAATTAATAAAATGAGGTAAGCGAATGGTTTCGTTACTCTTGCTGATGAGAGCTTTTGGTATCCTTACATTCTAAACATATTGACTGAATGCTAATACAGCAATATTGAAAGTTGTTAATGATTTCAAGTTAACAATACTAATATAAATTGAAATCAATATAAATAAAACGTTTAATATCGTTTTCTGACACTGACAAAATACGCGATTTGTTTATATTGCAATCGGCAGTTATGATCTTTCAAGTGTATTTTAGAATTTCCTATGTAAGAATAAAAACTCACATCTATTTTTCTTCCAAATGACAAGATGTATTGGGATAAGTTTGATCAATATTGAGTTTACAGGTATTGAATCCCTTGAGGATGTGAAGTCTGCATATATGCAATAGTTTTGAATCAGACGATACTTGACTTGCATGTATCTATTATGGTCTACGCGCGAGCACAGGCGATGAATAGGTCACCTTCAGTGAGGCGTAATACTACTATATATCGGGCCTCTATTCATATTTTTGTCTAGTAAATATATTATTTCAGCCTTTTGCAATATTATCTACTACAACGATCTAATCTTCAAGAAGTTCACGAGTCCCGCTTTTGCCCATTACCGAAACAAATTATTTTGTTGTGTTCGTATTTCAGGGTGTGGGTGGCTGTGGGTGGGTGTGGGGTGTGGGGTGTGGG